TCTATCGATGTATCTCACTATCTATCTATCTATCTATCTATCTGAATCTATCCATATCTATCTATTGATCTACCCCAGTTTATTCATATCTATCTATCTATCTATCTATCTATCTATCTATCTATCTATCTATCTATCTATCTATTTGTTTATAGTTATTTATCATTAGTCTATTTATATCTATCTATCGATGTATCTCACTATCTATCTATCTATCTATCTATCTATCTATCTATCTATCTATCTATCTATCTATCTATTTGTTTATAGTTATTTATCATTAGTCTGTTTATATCTATCTATCTATCTATCTATGTATCTATCTATCTATCTATCTATCTATCTATCTGAATCTATCCATATTATTCATTGATCTACCCCAGTTTATTCATATCTATCATTATCTATCTATCTATCTATCTATCTATCATCTATCTATCTATCTATCTATCTATCTATTTGTTTATAGTTATTTATCATTAGTCTGTTTATATCTATCTATCTATCTATCTATCTATTAATCTACCCCAGTTCATATCTATCTATCTATCTATCTATCTATCTATCTATCTATCTATCTATCTATTGATCTACCCCAGTTCATATCTATCTATCTATCTATCTATCTATCTATCTATCTATCTATCTATCTATCTATCTATTTGTTTATAGTTATTTATCATTAGTCTGTTTATATCTATCTATCGATGTATCTATCTATCTATCTATCTATCTATCTATCTATCTATCTATCTATCTATCTATCTATCTATCTGAATCTATCCATATCTATCTATTGATCTACCCCAGTTTATTCATATCTATCTATCTATCTATCTATCTATCTGTTTATATTTATCTAAGTCTGTCTGTATCTATATCGCAACTCTCTTTCTACTTCTCAGGTTCTCACAAATTGTTGAGATCTGTTTATCTTTTGTTTCTCCTTTTCTTTCTTCTTCTGTCCATCGCCTTCTCGAATCTACTTTTACTTTTTTGTCGTCTGCAATTTTAATCTGCATTGCTTTGTTTTCTACAGAAATTCTCGACCTTTCTCATCTCTTTTCATTTTCTTTCTCATGCTTTTCAAAGGATTTAGGTTCACATTTCCCATCATTCTCTTCGCGCATTAAATTCTTTCAACTCTTTTTTCCATTCATTTTCTCTTTCTCGGCCTAAACTTCTTTGCTTGAACGTAAATTTTCATCATTGCTCTCCTCAAACAGACCTCCTTACCCTCATGTTAAATCATAGCAGCCTTACTCTCCCGTATTAAAAATGATGATAAAAATTTGTAAGAAAAAATCAAATAACATAAAGAGCTTTCAAGTCAAGGCTTTCAACATAAAATTACATCTCTATTTAATATCATTTCTACAAGAGGATCTGTGTTATCTTTCTCTATCTCACTTTTTGCTACGGCTTCAGCCTTTTTTTAAAGATGGCATATTTCTGATGGCTCCAAGGCTTAATTGCCCTCTTCAAGGAATTGTAATGCAACGGAGGAAATAGATTTCACTTTGACTTTTCCGTTTTAAGTTATCTTAGAGTCTTTAATTTACAAGCGTTCGCATTAAAGGAAGAAAACTCTTATCATTCGTGCTTACAAATACGTACTGAAATCCTTCTTTTTACATATATATATATATATATATATATATATATATATATATATATATATCCCTTTCTCTCTCTCCAGAGAGAGAGAAAGGGAGAGTGTGCGATTGGTAAATTGTCAAAATTTCATATTTTAATGACGCGCATGCGCGTTGTTTGATTTTGATTTTGACGACTGCACATTATAGTAGGGTCAGCAGGACACCGTCTGTGAGAAAAAGAGCACCATGACGCAATTTCCTCTGCCAAAAATGTAGAAACGGCATGCTGTACTGCTTGGCATTCGCGCCGGAAACTCTAACATGAACATTTCAGAGTGTTTGCGTGTCAATCGGTTATGGTGACCTATCTACATCAGAATGAATTTTTTCCTCCTTCATAAATACTAACCTGCAAGACTTCCAAAGGAGGCAGTCGACCCGCAGTCTCTGACTGTGTTTCGACTTCTGGAACTCTCTGCTTTGGCAGAGAGGACCCCCGACGAAGCTTTGTTGTCGACGCTATGCCTCCATTCATCTTCCCACAGGGAACCACCCTCACCAAGAATGCCTCCATCAAGTGCCTTTAGGAGGTAGAAGTGCCTTGAGTCAAGTGGGTGGCTGTTAGAAGACTCTCTATCTGGCAACAAGATTCAGCACTATGACACGCAAGCAGAACCCAGTTATGGCTGTCAGACAATTTCTGCGATTACATAACCCTTTACATCTGGCCACTTAAGCCTCCACCTCTTGATTATTATTGTATGTCAGTGTTATTTTCATTTTTGCGTAATTTCGACGAAAATTTATCCATCACACCTTGTAACAGAGATTGTTATGTTATTTTTTTCCAACAATACGACAATATTTTACATAATTGTAACACTATCAGCTTTTTTTTTGTATAGGCGTGAGGAATAATTTAGGAGTATAACAATCTAAAATCTATAAATATGAATATGATCAAAGCATGAAAAAAAAATCATGAATTATTCCAAACTAAATACGGAATCAACTATTTATGACAAATTCAGTAAAAACATGCAAATATATACATTTCCTTAGAAAATATACAACTATTCTGTGGGGCGAATAATTGTGTCTACAAATGTATATATCAATAAATACTTATATGAAGTTACTCAAGGAAACAAACGCGTTGTAAAAATAAGTTTTTCGTCTTGATTCAATATTCATTTCATAGGATAGGTATAGACAGAGGGATAGTCCCCAGATGCTTGAGTTAATATTATTTTAAAACACACAAACATCTACCATGTGTAACAGCAAATTTGCCCAGATCGTCTAACAGCATAACTGTCTATCCAACAAAATGTTTAATATCTGAAAATCCACTAAACTAACAGTGTTTTTCCAGATTTTCAGATAAGAGGTTTAGCCATCTTGACGCCATTTGTCGTAAGAATCACTGATAAACCTTCACTTATTCATCTAGAATAGAGAACTGCTTAAAACCGTTTTGTGTCAGTCCCACTATCTTTCCAATTAAACAAACAGGTCAATTAGAAAAGATCCAACTCAATCCACAAGACGTTAGGCAACTGATTGAGAAGTTTCACCAGTCAGTCCAAAAAGCAGTGAAAAATTCTTAGAAATGAAATCGTACGTGAAAGCTGTGAGGCATCTTGTTATGCCAGAACAGAAAGTTAGAAGGTTAGAAATGGCGAATATCATCTTAAATAAGTTGAAAAATAATCCGATATATATATATATATATATATATATATATATATATATATATATATATATATAAACTTAGTCATGATTAATTAAAATGAGCATTTTCGTTTTGAAATATTTCATCACTATTCTTCTGTTAAGTTTAGGAGTAATTATGCATTATTATTACTTAGAGTTCAATAGTGTTATAAAAAAACTCGTAGAATTCCAGTAAGATATCTTTAATCATTTCTAAGATAGAACGGTTCTAAACTTAATCTAACAAATGGACCATTTTGCTGTTTCACCGGATATATATATATATATATATATATATATATATATATATATATATTAAAATAAAAAAAAGGAAACACTGTAAGATATGTAATCCGGTGTTCTTATTGATATTTTATTTTTACTAAAAAGTGCTCAATGTAAATTTACAGAGCATAAATTTTGTAAGTATTTGTTTTCTGTTTTCGAAACATGGTTATTTCTGTGTAGCGATGAGCATAAATTGTGTAAGCTTTTGTTTTCTGTTTTCGAAACATGGTCATTTCTGTGTAGCGATGAATCCATATTTTCAAATCAATTAATTATATATACATGTGTGTGTGTATGTGTGTGTGCGTGTGTGTGTATTAGTCAGAGATTTGTATGTGTACGTATGTTGAAAGGGAGAGAGAGAGAGAAAGGGAAAGTGATAACAGCAAGAAGAACTTACCCATATGCATATAAAAATTAATTCAAAATGGCAGGTGGAGTGCCAATTCCAAAATATTTTCATATTAATGCTGATAGTATTAGCAAAATATGCTTATCGTGTGTCAATTATTTTCTTACATCAACCGGCATAGCACATTGCAAATACTGTCTTTTAGCCAACGTCTTCAGCTTTTAAATTTCACCTGACTTTTTTTTGGTGGGGGGTGGGAGATTTACATAATATTCCTGTCTGATTATTGGTTTTTTTGTTTTCTTTTCTTTTCAAAATTTTACTGAGCATCTTATACGACGGAAGTAGCTAAATACTTCTTTTATTATTTACAAATCCACATATTCCCACTGTCACTTCAAAATGACACATCCTTTTTTACATATATTGCGTTCGTATTTTCTTGGTTAAACCTTGCAAACTTTCCTAAATATTTCACTGAAAATATTTCTAAAATTATAATGTATATCTCGTATACTATGTACATCTAAAAAAACATTTGGTCTCAATATAGCGATTTAGCAAGCGTAGCTTACTTGGAGAACCGAGTTCGAATTCCAGTCGAATCCATTACATTCACTTACGTGCTAATACCCTTGGGAAAGGTATGGATCCTCTTCTTCCTACCCCCACCGCCAGCTATGGGTAAATAGCAGGATAGACCAGATTCTACAGACTTGGATGGCAACTGGTCTACCGCAGAGATAAATGGCAACGTACTGAAGGGAAAAAAATGCTTCGTCAGTTATGTATCGAAAGATACATGATCGCCTAAGCGTGTATCACGTAACTGACTGACTGACTTTCCAGTCGAATCCATTACATTCACCTTACGTGCTAATACCCTTGGGAAACGTATGAATCCTCTTCATCTCCCTCCAGCTAGGGGTGAATAGAAGGACAGACCGGGTTCTATAGCCTTGGATGGCAACTTGTCTACCGCAGAAAGAAATGGCAACCAATTGCGGGAAAAAATCTGCCTCGTCAGTCATGTATCGAAAGATACATGATCGTCTAAGCGTGTATCACGCATGACACATAACTGACTGTGCTTATTTGGGAGTTGATTTACTAAGCATATCTTAGATATGGCATAAGGCCGAAAGTATGGAGCAGCTAGTGAGAATCGAATTCGGTCACAATATATGTATCTTAATAGCAAGGTCTCATCACTTCACATTTGGAATGGTTAGCCGGAAGTTCTATGCTAACAGTTTCATTTCTCGTGTTTCACTTCCGGTTTATTTTTTGCCAGTCAAACTTGATCTTCAAAAATTTAAATACAATGACAAGCGTTAATTTCTGTCTTCTTAATTATTGTTCTTTTATTGTCTCTACTCCTTAACAGTATATTTTTCTCATATTCTATAATCCTTGATAAACGTTTCGTCTTAGTGGCTTTATTTCTTTGCTTGGGTGAAATGTTCGATATTTAGCTTATATAGTTTATGAATTGTACAGTGTTAAAAAAAAAAAATTCTCCCGTCTTGTCGATTGCACTTCCAGTTTTTCCCTACTCTTTACAATCGTTGTATACCCTACCTTTTGAAGCGGGTAGTCGCCCTCGTATGCAAATGACCGATGTTCATAAAAAGGCTTAATATCACGCATGCGCCTTTGACCTCTCGTCAATGGCGGTTCGGCAGGCCAGACACCTCGACCGATATGGATCATCTATCGTCACAATGTTTAAAAAAAATAGAGTTTCTGCCATATTTTATTAATGGTGGTCACAGTATTAACATTATAACATATCTGGTTGACACCGTGTTGATGGCTGGCATACAAATTAACCTGCTGAATATTCTAAACGACTTAAGAAAGGAGAGCGTGAAGAATGTACAGCGGCCAGAAATTGATACAGATGAAAGTCCGATGTACGTTGGAATGAATCAAGTAGATAAATTAAAGATCAGGGAAATATTTTGACAAAAAACGGAAAATAAAACAGCAAAATCCGAAGACGCAAAATGGAGGATGACTTCGAGAATCGGAATTATTATTTGATAAGGAAATAAAGCATAGACGAAGTTCAGTATTCTCTACGTTAAAAAAAAAAAATAAATATATATTTATAAATACTTCAGTCGGGGAACACGTATTTTGTACGAAATTTCTCGAATATTAAGGCCGCGAAATGTAATTAATACTGTTTAATTAAAAACAGAGCATTAACTTAAATTGTA